ACTCCCAGCTCTGAGCTCAGAGATTACACTATTAATGAGCTAAATCCCCAAGTACCTATTAAGAAGAGAAGTATGTTTCAGAATACTGTGTACCGAATGCACAGTTTTTTGTATGAGGGAGAAATACATGTGTAGCATATTTCTGGAAGGAAAATCAGCAGAAACTGATGGCACTGGAATGAGATGGTTAAGGGGCAGGATATTTTTTTCTTCCACTTCATTGTTTTTATTCTTTTAACATCTGAAACTTAATTTTCTAAGCATTTGAATGTAGTACATGTTTATTTATTTATTTTTATTTTTGGGGTCATACCCGGCAATGTACAGAGGTTACTCCTGGCTCATGCATTCAGAAATTACTACTGGCGGTGTTCGGGGAACCATATGGGATGCTGGGAATCAAACCTGGTTCAGCCACAAGCAAGGCAAATGCCCTACCCACTGTGCTATTGCTCCAGCCCCTGTTTAAAACTGTCTCCAGGTGTTTAAATTGGTATGACCATTTTGGAAAACAATTTTGTCTTTACCAATAAACCTCACGTAATTCCAAACATATATAGAATATTCCAGCAATTCTGCCCATAGGACATGCCCTAGAGAAAGTTTTGCATATGTGCCCCAGAAGACATGTGGAATACTGATTGTAAGATCACTGGGGACTGATCACACAATAATTTGAAGGTACTTAACACAAGCAAGCTGTGCACTTAAATATGGTAACTGCTGTTATGTGCAATTTACAATTAAAATATTCGTAGATCTTGTAACTCATTATTATATTTGGTTTTTAAAATTATATAATCCGGTATGTAGTGAATTGGAAGGCAGTCATACATTAGAATTAGAATCAGTTGAGATCCTGGTTCTTCTATGACCTTGAACAAACTGTAAAACTTTAGGAACCTCTGTTTCATTGCCTCTAGGAGAGCTCTTTCTATTGGGGATCACAGACACTTATGTTGGTTGTGGAGTGCTGTAACTTTGTACATCAATACCATAAACTTTAACACTATTGTGACCATATTATTTGAACTTGGAATTTTTTCTAATTTTAAAAAACTAAAAACAGGGACCAGAGTAATAGTACAGCAGGTAGGACACTTGCCATTAAAGAAATATATTCATAAACATGAATTTTATCTGAATTATGAATATAAAAACATGAGGGGCTGGAGTGATAGCACAGCGGGTAGGGCGTTTGCCTTGCACGCGGCCGACCTGGGTTCAATTCCCAGCATCCCATATGGTTGAGCACTGCCAGGAGTGACTCCTGAGTGCAGAGCCAGGAGTGACCTCTGAGCATCGCCAGGTGTGACCCAAAAAGTAAAAAAAAAAAAAAAGTAAAAATGAGGGGGCTGGAGTGATAGTACAGCGGGTAGGGCGTTTGCCTTGCATGCAACTGACCTGGGTTCGATTTCTAGCATCCCATATGGTCCCCCGAGCACAACCAGGAGTAATTCCTGAGTGCAGAGCCAGCACTAACCCCTGAGCATCGCCAGGTGTGACCCAAAAAGAAAAAAAAAAAGAAAAGAAAGTAAAAATGATAGGGCTGGATAGAGATGGTACGGAGAGAAGGGCTCTTGCTTTGCACATGGACAATCTTGGTTCAATCCTCAGCATCTGATATGGTTCCCCAAGCCTGCCAGCACTAATTTCTGAGTGCAGAGCAAGGAGTACTGAGCACTGCTGGGTGTGGTCCAAAAACAAACCAACCAAAAAAAGTAAAGAAAGAAGAGCAAAATAAAGTAAAATTTGAGCTTCTACTTAATAAAGCTATTTTGTTTCTATGCATATATCTCCAAATAACAAAAACATTTTTTAAAAGATATAATATATTGGAGGGGTGGGGTGGCAGGGGGGAACACTGGAAACAATGGTGGTGGAAAATGTGCACTGGTGGAGGGATGGGTGCTTGATCATTGCATGACTGAACTGTAATCATAAAAGTTTGTAACTGTATCTTATGGTGATCCAATAAAAAAAAAATTTAAATAAAATAAAAAGTCAGTCTTGAGGCAGGAATATTGCCTAAACACTGTGGGTGTGGCCTAAATCGCCTTACTCCCCCAATTCCTTGTCTAAAAATGTAAAACAGGAAACCCCTTTTATATATATATATAAATAATCACTGTGAGAGCAGTTACAAAGCTTTCAGATTTAAGTCTCGGTCATACAATGATGAAACACCTGTCCCTTCACCAGTGCACATTTCCCACAACCAAAAACCCCAATATACCCCCATCCCACCCTCTCCCCTACCTGTGTGGCAGATGGTTTCCATATAACTCTCCCTCTACTTTGATTACATTCAATACTTCGACACCAGATCCACCATTATTACTTGGGATTTTACCTCAACACTCACATCTGCCAAAAAAGCAACAGTAGACAAGTTGTTTTCTATTGTTGATAATGTATACAACGGCCACACGATTTTGGAATTCTGAAATCTTAATAATTAAATCTGGAGGGATTTCTGCTGGGTTCCGAGATTTGTTTCTGAGTCTCTGGGATTATGGTTTAAGCTGCTTGTTGAGTAGCCAGAGGGTTCGTTGGTGGGCAGCAACTCAAAGTCTCCTTGGGGCAGGGGAGAAAAGGACCAGCCATGCCCCCATCTCATGAGGCCCCTACCTGGCTGTCCATTGACCTCTGGAAGATGGAGGAAGGAAACCCCTTTTAAGACCCATATACTCTTTATATTTTGTGAATAATCCAATTTTTCTTAGAGTTTCATTAAATATATATATATATAAAGAAAAAATATATATGTATCCTGGAGCATTAGTACAGCAGGCAGGGCATTTGCCATTTATGCGTCTGACCTATATTTGATCCCCCAAGCATTGCCAGCAGTAATTTCTGCTGAGCTAGGTATGGGTATGGCCCCAAAACCAAATAAAGGAAAAGATATATGCATTTGTATTTTATTGCAGTTATGTACAATAGCCAGGATATGGAAGCAGCCCAAATGTCCAATAACAGATGAATGGAGAAAGTAACTGTGGTATAAACTTGGGCCTGAGAGATAGCACAGCAGATAGAGTGCTTGCCTTGTTTATGTGAGGTCCTGGGATCATCATAAAAACAAAACTCTGATAGCATTTAGAGCCAATTGTCTGGATTCATATCCAGTTTCACTCCAAATTTCCTGTATCCTGGGAAAGGTCATTTAATTTTACATATGTAAAGCATTTAAAACTGTGCCTACTAGATCTGTATTTTTTGGGGGGGGCCACACCCGGCATTGTACAGGGGTTACTCCTGGCTCTGCACTCAGGAATTACTACCAGCGGTGCACAGGGGACTGTATGGGATGCTGGAAATCGAACCCAGGTTGGCCGCGTGCTAGGCAAATGCCCTACCCACTGTGCTATTGCTCCAGTCCTAGATCTGTATTTTCAATATATCAATGTTTTGTTATTTCAGGTGCCTGTGGTGTATCAAAATTGATAAACATTTAGTTGTTTCTAGTACGTTGAGACTACAAACAGCACAATAATAAATAGTATCATTTCCCTCTCATTGGCTAATGCGTGCACTGCACTGTAGCACTGTCCTCTCATTGTTCATCCATTTGCTCGAGCGAGCGGGCCCAGTATCATCTCCATTGTGAGATTTGTTGTTACTGTGTTTGGCATATCGAATACATCACGGGTAGCTTTCCAGGCTCTGCCGTGCGGGCAGATACTCTCGGTAGCTGGTCAGGCTCTCCGAGAGGGGCGGAGGAATCGAACTCAGGTCGGCCAAGTTGACTGTGTGTAAGGCAAATGCCCTACCTGCTGTGCTATCGCTCCAGCCCATGGTGAATCAATAAAAAGGGGGGGGGGGAATAGCTTCCATATGACAAAGTGATTTCACCCGGATAATTACACCCAAACCTGAAAACATTAATTTGGCTGTAAAAAATATTTGAGGGCAGTCGGGGGGGGGGGGGGGACGGCGGGCAATGGCTCTCCCCCTAGCCGCCCATGTTTCGGGGTGGGCTCGGGCAGTTCCTGCAGCCAGGGCGGTCCGGGCGGTGGGGCAGACAGTGGAAGAAATGAGGGCCAAGCCGGTTGATTGATCAGATACCGTCTATTCCATTCTCCCCAAGCGCCTGCCCCAGTCTCCCTGAGCTTCCCATTCTAGTCTCACACTGCCTCTCATTCCCATCTCCTCTTGTCTCTCCCGCTCATCTCTCCACGCTCCATCTCGCAGCCTGGGCTCTCTCTCCACGTGCCTGCTCCTGTATTCGTCTACATTCTTCTCTCTCTGTCTCCCCCCTTGCTAGCCTCTCCACGGTCCATCAAGGTGCTGCTCTCTCTCTCTCTCTCTCTCTCTCTCTCTCTCTCTCTCTCTCTCTCTCTCTCTCTCTTTCTTTCTCTCTCCAGCTCTCTTGCCTCTCCCACACTCTGGGCTGACACTGCACCCAGTCAGGTAGCAAAATCAACATAAGAAAGCCCTTCCTGAGAGCGCACCAAATTCAAAGGGAGCATCACTTAAGAGGTATCCCAAAGCCCTTCCTAACTGCCCAAGGGCAAAATACCCCTTAAGGTGTTTTTCTCTTTTACTTAGTCCAATAACTCTATCAACATCTTAATACTAGTTGTTTTTATATGGACACAGTAAGAGATAACACTGAGGCTTGTAGGGCGGCTCTCCTGGGAACATCTTGCCACAGACTCAGACTACAGCACTCAGGCCAGATTAGTCATTCCTAACCCTAGCAGGGTCCAAATCTAGTTATTACTTTTTGGATCATGACAGCATTCGTCCATGCCCAAGCTCTTAACTTATAATTAAGCATTATGGAGCTTTGGTCAGGCTAATACATAGGTAGAACAATGTCCTAGAACTGGTTCATGAACTGCTGAGTCAGAGGCAGTGTGGTTATCCTGTAACAGTTACCGACAAACTGCCCATTATGAATACACTACAAATCCTCTTATATAGTAAAAAGATACAGATATAGGGGCCGGAGAGATAGTACAGCAGGTAACACTTGCATACGATGAACCCAGGTTCCATCCCCGGCATCCTATATGTCCCCTGAGCAGCGCCAGGGGTGATTCCTGAGTGTAGAGGTAGGAGCAACCTCTGCAAGAAAATACAGATATAGCTCAGCAGTGAGCAATCGCCTTGTATGTAGGAGATTCTGGGTCCTACCTGGGTCATACACACACACACACACACACACACACACACACACACACACACACACACTTTCTCTCAATATAAAGAGATAATAATTTTAAAAAGATCTGAGTAAGTTACTTTGCTGATCAAATGAGTCAACTTATGTCAGAAAAGGGAAAATGACTCAGACAAGCAGTAGCCTAGCAGAACTTACGCAGGGGCCAAAAATTCTTTAAACTCTATTTTAATCTTATTTCGCTGCTGCCCTTTGCTCGCTGCCTAAGCACTCCTTTCCCCTTCCCCCACGGTCTATATTCCTACCCTGGACTGATCCTGTATTCGGTCAAGTGACCTTTGACCGATTCTGACTCAGAGTTGAGTTGCTGGAGGTTTGAGGTTTGCCAAAGGAAGGGTTTTATTATTTTGGAAACTGCAGCCCATGGTGAACCGCCTCCAGGGGCGCCGCGCCGCGTCAGGCACTCCCAAGATGTCAGTTACCTTCCTGCAGCGGGCGAAGCCGGGAGCTGCTTCTGAAACCGCGCGGCTCCGTGACGCAGGCTGCAGGTGGGTTGACACCACGTACGTTTTTCAGGCCAAGAAGGCCCGCCTCTCGGGGGCGAGGTCGCGATTGGGCGGAAGGGCTGCCAATCAGCGGGGACTATAAAGAGGGAAGCGGCCGGCGGTCCCTCAGGAAGGTCGGCGCGCGGAGCGGCGTGAGTGTGCTGCGCGAGTGGCGCCGGAGAATACCCGCGGTAATCTCTGACTGTTGGTCCCCGCAGCCGGAGCCGCCAGCTGCGGGCCTGCCTTCTCCCCGCTCTCTCTGCGCTCCGGGCCGGGCCGGCGTGATGGCGGAAGCCGCGGCTTGCGGCGCCGGCGGAGAGGCGATGGCGGCCGCCGAAGGCTCCTCGGGCCCGGCGGGCTGGTGTCTGGGCCGGGGCTTCTCCAACTACCGGCCCTTCGAACCCCAAGCGTTGGGCCTCAGCCCGAGCTGGCGGCTCACCGGCTTCTCGGGCATGAAGGGCTGAGGCTGCAAGGTCCCGCAGGAGACGCTGCTCAAACTCCTGGCGGGACTGATGCGGCCGGACGGGACCCCGCTGGGCCGGTCCCGTGGTGGCGGCCACGAGGAGGCGCCGCAGGAAGGCGGCCTGCCCGGGGCGGAAGCCAGCCCGAGCTGCCCGGCCCTGGACATCGGCCTGGACTCCTGTGTCATCCCCCTGAGGCACGGGGGCCTGTCCCTGGTGCAGACCACAGACTTCTTTTACCCCCTGGTGGAAGATCCCTACATGATGGGGCGTATCGCTTGCGCCAACGTGCTGAGCGACCTCTACGCCATGGGCATCACCGAATGTGACAACATGCTGATGCTCCTGAGTGTCAGCGAGAGCATGAGCGAGGAGGAACGAGAAAAGATAACGCCGCTTATGATCCGAGGGTTCCGCGACGCCGCAGAGGAAGGCGGCACGGCGGTGACGGGTGGGCAGACCGTGGTGAACCCTTGGATCATTGTCGGCGGGGTCGCCACCGCGGTTTGTCAGCCCAATGAATTTATAATGCCCGACAGTGCGGTCGTGGGCGATGTGCTCGTGCTGACCAAACCCTTAGGGACCCAGGTTGCCGTCAACGCCCACCAGTGGCTGGACAACCCGGAACGATGGAATAAGATCAAGATGGTGGTCTCCAGAGAAGAGGTAGAACTGGCTTATCAAGAGGCCATGTTCAACATGGCCACCCTCAACAGAACGGCCGCTGGATTGATGCACACATTTAATGCCCACGCCGCCACTGACATCACTGGCTTCGGCATCCTCGGCCACGCTCAGAACCTGGCAAAAGAACAAAGAAACGAAGTGTCCTTTGTCATACATAATCTGCCGATCATTGCTAAAATGGCTGCCATCAGCAAGGCCAGTGGCCGGTTTGGTCTCCTTCAGGGAACGTCTGCTGAAACTTCCGGTGGACTCCTCATTTGTCTACCTAGAGAACAGGCAGCTCGCTTCTGTTCCGAAATCAAATCTTCCAAGTATGGAGAGGGCCTCCAGGCATGGATTGTCGGCATTGTGGAAAAGGGAAACCGGACTGCCCGAATCATTGATAAGCCTCGCGTCATTGAAGTCCTACCTCGTGGGTCCACCGCAACTGCTTTAGCCCCTGACAATCCCAATGTCTCCTCTGAGGCTAGCTCCTGAGATGGGCTAGCAGAAGTTGTTTGGACCGAGGAGACATTGTGCAGCAGTCCTCAGGAGTTGATTTTAAGGAGAAATTTCCAAAGAAGGCTGCCTGCATCCTAGTTCCAGCTACCCTCTCCAGGTGATTTGACTCAGCCCATCAAAAGCTGCACATTCCAAGGCCAGAAATAACATTTTTAAACTTTTGGGGAGGGGGATGGGATGTATGTTCATCTCTTGCATAGAAGAGGAATAGGAAAACCTGTTTCCTCTTTCTAAGGGCAGGATAAAGCTTTTCAGGTATGGGGGATTTTTCTTGGTGCAGAATTAATTGGTTTTTGCACAGAGAATGAGATGATTCAAAGTACATACACACCAAAAAAGAAGAAAAAAATAGCAAATTGCTAAAAAACATTTAGATCAGAATAACTGGACCAATGCTGTTAAAAAATTGAGATCTTACAATGCAGTGTCAAATTGTTTATTCGATTTTTTTTTTCTGATATACTAGCTCTTTCCTGCTTTGGACAAGAATTGAGCAGCTTGTCCAAGGCTTGGAAAAGGAAGAGCTGTAGCCGTCTGACTTGGCCTCTATTAATGATGTCTCTCCCTCTAAACCCCACTAGGGATTGGGAGAGTCAGAACAAGCCCCAGAGGCCAGGCATTGATGGCCTATAAGATGTAAGTCTTGTGCTAAAAGAGTCTGTTAATTTAATCAAATTTTTGGTGAAATAAAAACTTTGTCGCAAAACTTCTACTGTGTGGATCCTTGCTATCTGTATCTTTCACAATCATATGGAATAAGCCAGTTACTTATTTGGAGTCTGACAAATTTTGGAGTCAAGGAACCTGGGAGGGTTCTGGGAAAAGGAAATTTGCAGGAGTATTGATACATTTAATGTAAAAAGAAAGATAAGAAAACCTAATGGAAAAAATAAAGGCGTTATCAACACTCCAACCCCCACCCTACATAAACCTTGTATACAAATGAGCAGGCTGGAACTGAGGAGCCTGCTAGCTATACAGCTACACATGGCAGCTAGCTATACAGCTAGTGGGGCACTGGCATGCAGCTGACCTGGATAAATCCCTTGTACTCAGATGGTCTCCAGAGCACTGCCAGGAGTGATCCCTGAGCACAGAGTCAGGTGTAAAGACCAGAGCGCTGCTGGGTGTGAGCCAAAAAAAAAGAAAAGAAAAACCCAAGTATTCAGCAACAGGTATTTACATAAGAATACAAAATGAAGTATTTGGGACAGTGATAACACAGCAAGTAGGGTGCTTGCCTTGCACATGGGCAAGCTGGGTTCAACTCCCTAACAACCCATACGGTCTCCTGGTGAGGAGTGAGCCCTGAGCCCAGAGCCAGAAGTGTGGCCCAATCACCTACCCCTCAACCCCCTCCAAAAATAATAAATACTGAGTTAGGGAGATAAAGGGCCAGAGCAATATGCTGGGAGTAGTCCCTGAGCATCATTAGATCCCAAAACAGACAAAATCTAGCAATAACAAATTTCAATAAATTTTATTTTTTCTCCTTGGTCAAAGTTCTTTGGGGGGATGCACAGGACCTCAAGCAGTGATCATGGGGCCACCAGGGTCACACCTGTGGTTGGGGGTAGTGGTGTCAGGTGGTGCTGAGATTGCCCCCACATTTCTGCCCCTGTCCTGCTTAAATAACCTTTCATAACATTCATACTACAAACTCCCAATTTGTGGTACTCTCCCTCTCATTAACTTCTTGCCCACTAGCCTTCCACTAGGTGCTTCATTCAAATCCAGATCCTATGTGCTTCTAGTTCTTCATGTCTGAAACCTCACCTAAGGCTCTTGGCCTATCAGGCTCATTCTCAGTCTTGTCTCAGTCCAAATTAAACCTTAAAAGCTTCCTCTGGTGCCAGAGAGATAGTATAGTGCTTGCCTTGCACATGGCCAAGCAGGTTCTATCCCCAGCACCCATATGGTCCCCTGAGCTCTGCCAAGAGTGATCTCCACTGAATGTGGCCCTAAAACAATAAAATCAGCTTTCTCTGACCTCCAACACCTAACTACTCTATGCCTCATCATTGGCTAGATAGCTCTTATCCTAATCTATAATCATCTTGAGAGTGTATTAATTTATGATTGTCCCTTACTGCCATTATGTAAACTCCAAGATAGCAGGAGGTATTTTGCACACCCAGTACTTAAAACCACCTTTGGCACATGGTACTCAGGATATGTTGAAACAGAGAGGTAAAGAAATCCACACTGGGAACCCCAAGCCCCATTATTTTCACACTTTTCCTTGCTCTTGGTGTCTCCTAGTGGTGGAAAATGGTATAAGCAATCTTTTTGTTTGGGGGTTACACCAGGAAGTGCTGGGGAGTGTGGTGGGGTGGCTATATTCTAAGCATGTTGCTTGTGGGTTATTCCCAGCAGTGTTGGGACACCATAAGGTGCCAAGGACTAAACCCAAATCCAGGGGTCCCATATACAAAGCATGCCCTTCAGCCTCTGCACCAGCTCCCTCTTCTGGTACCACCAATCCCTTCAACATTGGAGAAGATATTCAGACCTTGGTCCTGGTTTTTGCAATTAAACCTTTCCAGTTGATTTATTAGTATTATTTGGGGTTTTGGCAGCTAGGGGTCCTGAAAGAGCTGGGGGGGCACTTTTGGGGAATTTTAAGATTGGCCAATAACTGCTGTCAAGTGCACTGCCTATTGTACTATATCTCTGGCCCCGAATTATTATTTTTATTTTGTTTTATTTGGTTTGGGGGCCGGGGATCATTACTGATGGTGCTCAGAAGACCCGGTGAGGTGCCAGGGAATAAACCTGGTTTGGTCATATGCAAGATAAGCATGCTGCCCTCTATATTATCTCTCCGGCCCCTGGTTTAATTAGTTGTTTTAATTGAATCAAAATGAGATACACATTTACCAGTTTATTTCTGAATTTTCGGCCACATCCCATGTTGTTCAGGGGTCACTCCTGGCAGTGCTAGGGGGAATCTCCTGCATGTTCTCAGCCCATTGAGCTACCTCTCCAGCCACTTCTCTGATTTTTTTGAAGGCGGGTTCACACCCAGCTATGCACAGGAGTTTCTCCTGGTTCATGCACTCAGGAATCACTCCTGATGGTGCTCAGGGGACCATATGGGATGCTGGGAATCAAACCTGGGTAGGCCGCGTGCAAGGCAAACGCCCTACCCGCTGTGCTATTGCTCCAGCCCCAGGTTTATTTTTTAACTAGGAGTTGGCAGTAGAAAGTGCAGGGGAATAAGTGGATGCTTCCCGGGTCTGGGCTCAGACTAGAAAGGGTGAGGCCTTGAGATCAGGGAAGTCATCCAACTTCCTTGGTGAGAGGCTGGCAGCAAAATGGAGGTAGCAGGTGGAGAGAACAAGCCTGGAGTAGGGATCAGAACAGAATCATGGGTACACACAGAAGGAAGGCACCGGAGAAAATGAAGGAGAAGGAATAGAAAAGGGCAGCTAAGGGACAGAAGAAGAAAGGAAGCTAAGGGAAGACAAAAAATAACGGGAGAGAGGGTAGTAAGGTGACGAGCACACGTTCACACGTGTGAGCTGTCTCGTGTGCAGGTCTGGGGGCACAGGTAGACTTCCACTCACTGAGAAGCATCAGGGAATGCATTCTGGCTAATCTCAGGTCTCTGGGCCTCAGTTTCTTCACTGGCATGGTAGTACCCACCTGTGACCAGTAAGTCATGGAGAGGACCCCAAGGGAGGTACTACAATAAATTCATATTTTTTAGATCTACTCAAGTACCAGGTCTGGGCAGTGCTCTGGCAGGGAGATGGCTAAAGGTATTGGGACTTGAGTGGAATAAACTAGGTAAAAATGTCTCTGCCATGAGGCTTCTGAAAAAGTTAACTAAAACTAGGAACTGAGTGGGGGATGCAGAGATAGTACAGCAGGTAAGGTACCTGCCTTACCTGTGCCTGACTTGGGTTTGATTCCCTGGCATTCTGTATGGTCCCCAAGCATCATCAAGAGTAACTCCTGAGTGCAAAGCCAGGAGTGACCACCCCTGCCCCCTGCAAAAATGCACATTGCATTCCAGCATACAAAGGATCCTTTGAAAACAATATGCCCAGGTCCCCACTGTAACACAAAAATGGGACTCAGAGAAGTGAAATAATCTTCCCAAGGATATTGATGGATGGAATCACCCACCTCTTAGCTTCCCATCTCCTCTGACTGACTCAGGTTCCCCACCCCAAACTGCCTGTGTAGTTTATAGGCCAGTTCCCTGCTATGTTCCACTCCAGGGTTTCCCAAAGAGTTTGACTGGAGCCAATAGTACCAGCTTGACTCCATCCCTCTCGGAGAGCCTTGCAAGCTAACAAGAGTATCCCACCCACACAGCAGAGCCTGGCAAGCTCCCTGTAGCGTATTCAATATGCCAAAAACAGTAACAAAAACGGGTCTCAGGGCTGGAGCAATAGCACAGCGGGTAGGGCTTTGCCTTGCACACGGCCCACCCGGGTTTGATTCCCAGCATCCCAAATGGTCCCTTGAGCACTGCCAGGGGTGATTCCTGAGTGCAGAACTAGGAGTAACCCCTGTACATTGCCAGGTGTGACGCAAAAAAAAAAAAAAAACCAAAACGGGTCTCATTCCTCTGACCCTGAAAGAGCCTCCAGTACGGCAGTGTTGGGAAGGACGAGTAAGGAGAGGCTGCTAAAATCTCAGGGCTGGGATGGAGACATTACTGGCACCCGCTCAAGCAATCGATGAAAAACGGGATGGCAAGTGACAAAGTGACAATTGACTCTAGTGGGAAATGTGACCCAACTTGACTAGCAGAAGAGAGAGTGTGTGCATATGCCCGCCTCTCCCATGCTTCTTGTTATTAAACATTTCTGAGTCTGCAATGGAGACCCCAGACCAATGGCTGCTCAGGAGTATCAGGACATACATTGTATTGGAGATTAACCTCAGGAATTTACGCTTGCCCGAGGCGCTTTCTAAGCCACTGACCCATCTTCTCAGCCCTTTCTCACTAGGGACCCTGATGGGTAGCAGTCAGGATTACCTTGGCACACATGGGTGACACGTGAATTCATGCGTGGTCTTGCACTTTCCAGATACGTGCATTAAGCTAGGGATTATTCAACTTTTTCTGATCTCCCAAGAAATGCATTTTGGGCAAATGCTGCTAGAAACACCCCAAATGCATTACATGGTCAATTTTGAAATTGTGCATTCTGAAAACTTACTGTTGCCAAATTTCTTGCAACCCCCACGTTCAGCTATGCAACTGCATAAATGACCCACAGCGGCTAGGGAGTAAGGCACGCTCATCTTCCAGGGGTTCTCCAAGTCATTCTTTTGCTTTGGTTTGGTTTGGGGGACCACACTCAACCCTGCTGAGCCACAATTGGGGGACCATATGCGATATACAGGAATTTGAACAAGCTCAGCCACAATCACATATGAGGCAGCCACCCTTTGTTAGGTCCTCCAGTTCATTCTTTTTTTTTTTTTTTGTCACACCCGGAGATGCATAGGGGTTACTCCTGGCTTTGCACTCAGGAATTACTCCTGGCGGTGCTCAGGGGACCATATGGGATACTGGGAATTGAACCCATGTCGGCCAAGTGGAAGGCAAATGCCCTACCCGCTGTACTATCATTCTAGCCCCCTCCCTTCATTCTTAATACAGCAGCCAGAGGGCTCATAAATACAAGATCTTATTGTCTCTCTTGCCTAAAAACCTCCAAAGGGCTTCCATAGACTTCACATCCAA